CACGCCCTTATATTTATTCTTGAATCAAACTACTTACATTGATCCTCTTACTATATCTATTTTCGCATGTTTTCATAATGCAGCGATTTTTGTTCTCCTATCATTCCGCATTGCAGACATTTTTTCCTTCGATTAAAGAAAAGTTTCCGTAATTAAGAAGACACACAGAGGCAAGTGTGGTATAATCCAATTGAATATTCATTGATCGTGCTTTTCATTTATCGAACGAGGGAACTTTCTCAGTTGTTCAATAGGCTTTGACTGGAAACTATTGCTATTCGATCGAACATTATGAGTAGTGAAACAGTTTGTTTTGATCGTAGATTTATATGATAAGTGTAAGAGTAGATGCCTACAACACAAAAATTCAATAGGAAGATATAAAACATTTATAGACCGTCTGAATTTTTTAATACATTCTTTAATAAGTTATTCAATGTTACACCGATTGCACTGGCTAGTTCATGTTATGAGTTTTAGATTTTTTGTTCAACTTTTTGCGTTTTTAATAAGATTCCATACTAGCAAAGTAGTGTTAAAATAAGGACTATAATCAGGTCATTGACATAATTCAATATTCTATGCTTAAATAGAAAATCCGATCGATGAAGCATGAAGAGATCTATTAACAAATATAATTCAAGAATGTATTTTTAAAAAATTTAAACGTTCTATCAATACTTTGTATTTTCCTATTGAATTATTATTTCTATTATAAACATCTATTCTTATACTACTCCATCTATATCTACATAAATTTGTTCTAAAAACAAACTCTATATAATATATCAATAATACGATTTGCAAGCATTTGGTTGTTGATAGATAGACCTTATCGTTATTAGGAACTTTCCAAAGTTTATGTCCCAACAAATGCATCTCTAAAATTCTTCATATTTTAGAAAAATCTTTTGTTTTTGTTTGAAGAGTTTCTAGTTACTATAAGATCTATTTATAAATAAAATTTCAGCGCAGAATTCAATCATCTAAGTTCTCAGCAATTCTATGCTCATAGGGCAAAAATTGAAGTAAAATACCTATAACTCGGCAAGTGAAGACTGAAAAACCAGACTAGAATAGTCTTTTTCACTACTCATCATGACTAATCGAATAGCAATAGTTTCAATACAACAAAAAAAAAGATTTATTTATTTTATTCACAAGAAAGTTTTAATTTTTGAAAACAATAAGAAAAAGAAGGAAATGTTTTTTTCTTTGTGCATATTATTCTCATCTGATTATCATCATAAATTTTGTAAGAAAATTCGTTGGATCAACGTGAGATCCTAAATCAACAGATTCTATTCTCAACACATTTGATTATATACGTCCGTACAGAACAAAAACAAGTAATTTTCTCATCATTGATAACTATAACCAGATGTAATGTTCTCACACACCTGTTGTAACTTGGAGACAATAATATTCATTACTCATTTTCGTTCTTTAATAATGCTATTACAATACGGAATTAGAGTATAAGCACATATGACCAGTCATTTCGACATTAGAATTCAATGTCAAGTAAACATGAATCAAAACCGTTGTGAAATACAATCTACAAGGAATGTTGAAGTATAGGGATAGAAATTCGAACCTACTCCTCTATTCCCACAGACGCGACAGATGTTGCTGATATACAGTCAAAGACCATATATCAATAACATGTCATGATAATATATGAACTATGTTCTTATTGTATTTCGAAAGAATTAAATAGAAGGATAGTGAAGACAGTCATGTTAATTGAATGCATTGATAAAAAAGAAGCTCTCAATTCAATTCCTAGATCGTTGCAAAATATCATGACTCAATTCATGAATTAATCATTTGTTAAATAGAGTTACTTTATTCGGATTCATTTTGCATTTATTCAAAGTGATTTCAGAATATTTTTGTTTGTTTATCATGCATCACCTGCATTCAATGTCTTCTTCTGAATAATGAAAGTCGTTTCTCTTTTGTTTTTCGAGCAAACCTATTTCAAACTTATGATTCGAATCAAACTTGTCAATTATCATACAGCTATTTGTATTATTTGTATAAACTGTCATATCCTATCCGACGCATTAAAGAGAGAAATAAGTTGAATATTTGTTTTTCATGATCATGACAATAACGATTTGTTTTTTTTTGCATTGTTAACATGACATAAGCAATCAGTTGTTTATTCGTTTAATACGATTAAACCCTTTATTACGAATATGATTTTATAATAATATCTGATTCTTACAAATTCTTCTTTCAATATCATATACTACCTGAGTTGTTGTAATATGAATGCTTTACGGATCATCGATTTATTTAATATCGCTTGGTCAAATAGGTAATTAATTTTTTTTTCTAAGTTGATATGAGACTTTATGAAAACGGATCCATAAATAAATTATAATCTATCATGATTAAAAGCAACGGATATCAAAATAATCTCTGTTTTATTTCGTAGAAATAACTTAATCATTTTTGTTTTTCATTGATAAGAAAAGAAAGTTAAATTTCTTGAAAGAATTTTTATTTATAAAAAAGAAAATTTCTAAAATAATTCATATGTTAATGTTAGCAAATAAATACATGAGTATCATAACAAGGACAAAAAAAATTTGATTTTTAAATACATTACGATTTATTAACAGCAAAACAATAAGTATATCTTCTATGTGTTGGAATCATAATCCCTTTATTGTAATAATATCGAATACTTCGTGAAAATTTCTCATAATTCAAATTACATCTTGTTTTCCGATTTTTAATTTTTCTCCAAAGTTCAACAACTTTAGTTGGTTTATGAATTTTAAATAAACCTTTGGCTTTATTTAACCAAGATGCATAGGAAATATAACGTAAATTATTAAGTAATAAATGAAGAAATTCATCTAATTTTGGAGGTCGTGATTTTCTTAATAATAAATCTCTGATACGCCATTCCATTGGATTAAAAGAAATTTCATTACTATTTCTTAATGAACTTGTTGAACATGCTTCAGAAGAATTGATAGAACGAATAGTTGAAAATGAACTTTTCATATTCATTTGATCAGTAGTAGATAATTCATTAAAAATTGTATGTTGTTCATTAAAAGTATCAAGATAGTCATCTAATTGATAAGAGTTATTTATGGAACCATCAATAATACAAGGATACTTAGGTGCGGCATCAATATATTTAAATAATGCATCCAATGTATCAATAATAGACGACGGCGACGATCTAGTGTGTATTTGATTGTCAAGCATTCTTTGTTTGTTTAAATCGTATGACAACGTTTAACATAAATATTTATAAAGCCGTTATATACATGTATTGACTGACGAAGGAAAGTAAGACTCTATTGATTGATAATCGTGACTTTGATGTTACAGTAATTACGACTGAAACCTTTGTCACATTAAGAAACATATAAAAAGGATAACGACAATAAGAAAAAAGCTTAATATTTTATTACATTTAGGTTAACGTTTAATAGTGAATGTATTGGCAAATGACTATTGGACGTATTTATTAGGTTTATTTAGGACACTGTATATAATATTTAACGATAAATAATACAATCTAATTGAACTTGAATGAATTTAAAGCCAAATAGCATTACTTATTTCTTTTATCTTATCGATTCGATGTTCAAATCAGAGCTGCCATTAATTCGCTTCTTTTTGATCTGGTTCGAAATACCTCCAGATCAAACTAGATCGATTATTGTTTATTATTTTATGAATACGCTTAATTCTACAACTATGCATTAAATCTATTATTCTAGTTTCAGTTGTTCAGCTTAATTTATTTTCATAAAAATAAGATAAGAACAAATTCTTGTATGAAATACCAAATTAAAACCAAGAGACAATAGAAAAATTGTTTACAAAAGTTTAAATTAACACAATAGTTTTGATCATATCAATTCTGTGTTGCAAAATCGAAAACATGCGATCATAATAGCACAAATAATATTTGGTTAGACTTACAAGGAAGAAGTAAAAGAATCTATAGGAAATCAGCAATACTTATAATAATAGGCAAGAAATACTTATTTACATTTGACACAATTAATTTTTGCAGAAACACAAGCACAAAATTTACCATTCAATCTTTTTTGGATGTCAGACAAGTTCTTCTATCAGTCAATGTATGTCCTATGATATTACATTGACGTTTGGTTTAAGTATTTATTATTGGATTCGAATGAATTTATCAAAATATTCTCAAATGGCAAAGCAATGCGTTAACATTTGATTTTCAAAATGTAGCAGCCAAGTCAACAACTTTGGTCTTTTAATCACACTGAATATTATATAGACGATTCAAGCCATGCTGGCAACTGTGATTGACATAATATACATATGATGAAATCTCTAAAAAATTCATCCAAATCTCCAAAGAAAACATTATCATCAATGAGTATGTCTATTTCCTCGTTTAACTATTCTAACAAACTTCTCTCGACGTCACCATTGAATCTTCTTATATCATCTGAAATATATGCTCACAACATAATTATATATATTAAATTTGTGATCATGTTTTTTTTTATAGTTCTGAAATATGCCTTTTAACTATTCGTTGCTTTAATCGATTCATGTGAAATTCTTTTAGAGCGAGTCAATATAACAATACCAAAACTCCGAAACACATTGCTTCTCTGTTTAGAGCTGCAGTTCGATGAATAATAAGGGGTTGACCGATCATTTTTAAAGCTTCTCAGCCATACACAAAAAAATCAGATATGTTCCTCTCAATTGTTAATGATAAGATGTAAGGAAAGCTTCGTTTTCATTGTGACTGAAAGCATCTCCTATACTTATATGCACGTTAGTATTTGTTCGATAGTTTCTTACTGATGTATAAATTTCTAAAAAAACAACCAATAATTCTTTGATAGAATTTGCCATTTGATCTTTAAAAAGCTAATTATATATTTTTATTGACTCCTGATTAATTTTGCTCATATTTTATTTAAAAAAAATAATGCCAGTAAAGAGAATATCTGTTTTTTTACGATGAAGTATCATTGTGCAGAGTATTTAAAACAGAATGTGTATTTTTTATTTGTTTTAACCATTACTCCTGCATTATAATAATGTCGGATACCTCGTGCAAATGTTTCATAATTCATTTTTCGCTGTGTTTGTCTTCCTTTAACTTTTTCCCATAATGTAACTACTTGATCTGGTTGAAGAATTCTAAATAAACCTCGGTTTTTATCTAACCAACATATATACGAACAATAACGTGGATTTTCTAAAAGAAGTTGAAGAAATTCATTTTGTCGTGGAGCTCGTTTTCTGCCAGCATGTAAATCATTTACTTGCCATTCCCTATCATCAAAAGGTATTTCATTATTATTGTTCGATGATTGTGCAAAATTATTGTTAGCAGCAATGAACCATGTATATAACGATAATGTAATATAATTAATATGATCATAGAAATCAACATATTTACCATTATATGAAGTTGTAGTAGTCAATGGATTATCAGAAGTTTTATGTATTGTTTCCAAATCTTTACACTCTCCTGATGTTGCATTTTCATCGTCTTTATAATTATTAGCCATAAAGAATAAATATTTCGTTTGTAGGCAATAAAAATGATGTTCTTAAGAAAAAAAAAAAACTATAATGCATTGTGTTTCGTATCATATGCGATTACGAAGTTTCTTTTCTCTCGACGATAAATATTCGGAAGTGACGCAATCTTTCGTATTAATCATACACCGCATGTGTTAAAAAAAGAAAAGAAAAACATACCGGTTTTGTTGAATACTTATGATGTAAAATATGGATGCAATACTATTGCTGAAAACTCATCATAAGAAAATGTATTGATATATGTGTACTTTGTTTTTTTTTTTGTAAAAGAATGACAATATGATAATATTTAACTAGTTTTAAAACAGATTTTTTTTTCAAGATGATTATTTTCAAGAAAGTTCTTGTCAGCACAAATACAAAGATAGTAAACAATTTGTTTTTTGTTCTTTATAGAAGAAATACAAGCATTTTTATTTAGACATTGAACAATACAAAATTTGAAAAATATGGATGATATTGTTGCAATAATATGACAAAAAATTAAAATCAATCATTTTAAATGCATGAATAATATCAGGACTGGTCAAATCGTGAAGAAGGCCGAGGGTACCGTGGATGTGACACCCAGGCAGTTATGAAAGATTTTGGTTTTTACCATTAGCGAAGTCGAAAATTTTTCTTCCGTTCTCTTTGTAAATAAATAGTAACATCTTCCCCTTATGTTAGCTTTCTTGGGCTAACGTTGAATAATATTCACAAACAATTTGTATTATTTGGTATTCGAAAAAATAAACACAACTTTTAATTTAATTTTCAAAGCTCATAGAAATACTGATGATGAAAATTTATCAAATATTTATTATTTCGTATAAGTTTTTGGAATTTTTTGAAGAAACAGAAATTCTTAAAAAAATATAATGAAATTATTTTAAATGTATTCTGATTCAAAATACCTTTACTCTGAATATCCTATATTTTGTACTTATGTATAAAATAAACCAATATTTAATTATTTTTAAAGATTATTGAAGTATATCAGATATCACGATTTTTGTCAATATTAGCAGTTCGTCTTTGAGTTGCATATGGGGGTTGAAAGCTCAAAGTTTATACTTTCGAATACACTATGGTGTACTTGTTTTACAAGTGTATCTGTGAATTTTATAAAAGTTTTCCTGAAAAACTCATAAAAATTTTGCGAACCTCATTCGACGAAATTCTTTAAGCTTTAGTAGAGGTTTGTAATATGAAAAATATGACTTGCATGTATCGAAAAATGTGTCCTACACCTCATCGTACATTTTCTGAATCAATTTCTTTATAGTGTTTTACCTAGAAAATTTATGAACAGTTACCAGAGAGTACTTACTGTTTTCTAGTTTCAATTCGAAGTGCCTTGCAATCACTTTGCATCTCTCAGTTAAAGGTTAATCTAGGTTTTTAGGAATAGTTGTAATAATCTCATTTGAAGAATAGTAACTTACAACGCACAAGTATCCGCATAAAAATATCTGAAGCTATTGAGCACTAAAGATTAATTACGAAATTCCAATTAATATATCTTCTGACAATAGTAAAGTGATCTATTTCAAATGATGTATAGCTCCCTTATTGATAATTATAATTAAGACTGATGCGACGAAAACGTGAAGAGTTTGTGAAATCACATAGTTGTAACTGTTCGTGTTAATTATGTGAATTCGGTCGTGAAAGCCAGTATTTCTCACTTTGATGTGGCAAGTTCTGACGAAAATAGGTATGTTGAAATTATGTTAAGAAAAATGTTGCATAACTATCAATTTAGCAAGAAAATGCTTCAACAATAGCTTCATGCAAGGTTAAAATTCTATATGAGCAATTATATCTATTTGTGTCATTCAGATCTATAATGATTCCATTAACTTGTCGAAACGATGCATAGTAGAATCTTGATTCTATCAGATATTTTTCTCAATTAATTAAGATCTATATTTTGTGAAACTTTGAGAAAGTTTACTTGAGTTGACGTTGAACAACGCTTGAATTACGACTGAAAAATCATCGTCGGGAACCACAAGAGAATGTTTAGTTACCGAATTGGTCCTAATTAATGCTAAGTGAAGAGTTTCATATACCAGAAGATAGAGCAAGTGATGCTCTACAAAACTGACAAAGTCATAACTTATCCAAATTCGGAAGAAATTTATTATTTTGAGATCCAGGTTGTCAATGGGTGCTTGCAATGTTATTCTTATATCAGCTGATAAGCTGCTGGTCATCAATGAAGAACTACTGTTAGCATCGACTACTGGTAGTACCCAAAAGAGAAAACTTATCGTATGTTTTATTTACAAAGGCAGTCTCTTATTGTGTCCAGAGTTACTTTTTAAAACTAAAAATCAGTTTTATAATGATAGAAAATATAACATGCCCGGCAGACGAACATTATCATGTATGGTTGTGAATGGTGATGAAATGACATAGTAGGAGACAGATGTTGAGGAAAGAATATTAGTACGAGTACCGAATCGATTCATTTGATTGTGAGCGACGTAAGTCGTCGAACACATACTTGTAATTGATTGCACTCCTAGACCGAGTGGCGTTGAGATTCGACTAGCAGATACAATGTACGCACGACCTATGGATTTTTGTGATTGCAATGGCTGAATGTTTTGCTTGCCGAGCGGAGCTGATATGCATAAATCACCATTGGGTTTCCATTGAATTGTTGTGCCTAGACGTCCAAAGATCTTATCACCACTAATTGAGACACGTACAGGAATGTCACTCAATTGAAGATGAATGTTTGATTGACCGAAAAGATTGGACAGTAAAATAACATCAACACCACCGTACCAGTCGGTTAAACGGGTCGGCGATCCAACAGCCAGCCAACATCTGTCTTTATAAATTGAAAAACTCTGTCCAAAACGACCATTTTCTTGCGTGCCAGAGAGAGTAAGAATGAGATGGATTTGAGGTTCAAACGAGTATACGAACAGTTTACCCTTGTCGGCCGGTGCACTGATCATGAGAGTTGGATAGGCTACATTGCTGATGCACGACGGCGGAATTATTTCAAGTGAATAACCAAATTTTGATTTCGCTGTTTCACCATAAATGGTGAACGATGCATTGGCAACAGTGAGATTATTACTCGACATTTGAGGATCAGAGCTCTTGAAGATCCAGACAGCTCCTTGTTGTGGCTGATTATAACCGTTCGGTTGAGCGTATGGACTAGTAATGATCAAATCAAGTCGATTATCATTATCGAGATGTGCCGTATATAGTCCAAATCCAATTGAGTCATGTTCATTCACTCCATCAATACGCATATATGGTTGAAGTTGAAGGCCGTCTGCACTACCGGCAAACACAAATACTGCTCCACGAAAGCCGAATCCGTGTGATGGACTGCTAACGACCAGATCGTTAAATCCGTCGTTGTTCAAATTAAGGCTAGCCAATGCTGAACCGAATCGATCGCCATCACATACGGGCGAAATAAGTGTTTGATTGGCAAGTCCTTCAATAATCGAAATTTGATGGTCGGGTATGAGAAAACGATTCTCTTGACCATATATAATGAACACTCGACCACCTTGTACACATCCGAGTACATAATAATCGGGTGCTGACACGACAAGATCGGTACGTCCATCACCGTTAAAATCACCAAAGAGGGTTGCATAACCAAATGCGGCATAACTTTGATTTGAAATGAGCCCAGTCAGAATTTCGGTGGTGCCCAATGGCGGCAATAATGATAAAGTGTTGTCTGAAAAAGGTAAATAACCTGAAGGTGCTGATTGAACGTATGATGTTAATTCTTGCTGTTGTTGATGTGTAACAGTGTGAGGAATGGTACAGTTCAGATAATATGGATTAATGCCGGTCAATGTACAAATATTTGTTCCATTTTCATACATTGCAATAATCTGATCCCAATATCGAACCGCTAGCTGAGCCATATTTGGTAAACTACCATAGTAGTATTCGTGCAGTTGATCGAGTAGAAAACTATTATTGGATGAGTATGTGGGATATAGAAGACCGAGAAGAAGAGCATCAGCAAATCGTCCGCCGAAAATAATACTAGAGCAGGTTTGAATACGCATCTCAGTAGCATTATTTTCCAGTGGTGAGTTATAGGCATCAGCATATCGCGCATAGATCTCTTCAAGTTCGTGGCTTGGAACAAACCACTTGTCGATAAGCCCTATGAACCATAGAAAGATCATTTTTAGAAAAAAAAAATTAGTTTTTCGGCCTTTTACCGATATAACCGACCGGTAATTCGTAATTAATAACACTATCTCCACCTGTATCATCACTTGAATGTGCCATTTCTCGATTGCCATTAAAACTCTCCCAGGCTGTTGCATCGATAAATCCATTCGGACAGCCTGTTAAATTTGCATGCCACGCAGCATCAGCCACTTGATGGCAAGCCACACCAAATAGAAATACAAGTAACTTTTGTCCAAGTTCATCGTCGCGTAGTCCTGATAATGGATGTTTATCACGCATATATTCAATGGCGATTTTCATAAATGGATACCTGAAATTGTGAACAAGATGATAACTATTATGAAAACGAAATGATCAATTCTCCGTACCAATGGGTATCTTCAGACACTTGATTTAAAGTACCGTTATAACACAAACTATTATACATAGAATCAGGATATGGAGATCCTCCTTGCAATGCATCTGGATGTTGGAGAATATATTGTTGATAAACAGGCTGATGTAGCCAAAGCTCTTGAGCACGATGTGAAATTTCGATGTGTGTTGTGATACCACATCCGAACACCACGAGAGGCAATGAGAGAACCAAAAAGATGAAATCGATCAGCATGCTATTGTTTCACACTAAATTTTTTCTTGATACGTTTCACAAAAGCGCTTTTTATAACGATGATTTGATGATTAATATTAACCCCTATGTAAAAGGTCTTCGTACAGCATTTCTACTTTATTTTCGTTCGCTTATAGATTACAGGAGATAATCAAAAATAGTCAGCTAAAATGTGAATTTCAAGCTTTTTCTAAACATGTATTCAGAATTCTTTTCTGACTTGAAGTTGATTCATTAAGAGCAAATATTTGATGAGGAACAAAAACGATGTTTGTATAAATCACTAGTGTCAAAGGTCTTGGTAAATATGTTTGCTGACTTTTTGAACACATAAATGTAGTTGAAGAGAATCAAAAGGAACCGCTTAGAATCAGAATTTGACGCTCTTTCTAAATACATCTTTACACTGAAAATCTTTTTTAATTTCTATTCTGTAGAAAATCGATTTTAAATAAGCTAAAGTATTTTAAAACTTTTATTATTCATTCGTTGAATTTAAAATATTCTCAAAATATGCTTGATTTTCTAAAAAAAATGATTTTTAAAGAAATTAGAAAATCCATATAAATTCTAGACAAAGTCAAAAATGAAGACAACTTTTTGGAAAATCATTGCAACAATGACTACTATAGAGTCATTTTTCGTTTATGTATATAAGTCAGCCGACAATGTTATGCCTTCATTATTTTTCCAGCAACTGTAATGAGTTGATGAATATTATATTTTTGTATGGACGAATAGATAATATTTATTTATTTAATTTATTCAATACATTTATCTGAATTCAATGTCTATGAATCTATTAAAAATAAAATTAAAATTAATTATTTATTTTACTTGATACATTAATGAAATCAATGTTTGCATTTATTAAAATTGAAATTAAAGTTAAACTATTTATTTTCTTTGGTGCATTAATGGAATTCAATATTTATGAATTTATTTAAATTAAAACTATCTATTGATTTATTTATTTTATTCGATGTATTTATGTGAATTTAATGTTTATAAATTTATTTAGATTAAAATTAAATTTAAAATTAATTATTTATTTTATTTAACACATTAATGAAATTCAATGTTTATGAATTTATTTAAATTGAAATTGAAATAAAAATTAAATTATTTATTTTATAAAATAAATAAAAGAAACTTAATTATGAAATAAAAATGAAAATGAAATTCAAAATTGAATTTCAAATTTCTAGAAAATGTTCAAATTGATAAACAGAATTCGAAATTCTAGGAATGTCCATATGAATTCACTTTTGATTTTCTAATTAAAAATTCATCGGTGAATTCATATGGGCATTCCTGGAATATCCTTCATTAAACTGTATAACTTATTTTCTCGTTTACAGTGCATGAAATATTCTGTACAAACATCATTTTTGGTCGTCATCAAATATTTACTCCTAATGAATCGATGTCAAGTCAGAAAAGAATTCTGAATATATATGTTTAGAAAGAGCATAAAACTCTCATTCTAGCTGATTACTTTTGATTATTTCCTGCAACTTATAAGTGGACGAAAATCAAACGGTACGTTCGAAATATTAGTTATCATATATATTATTATATACTATTTTTAATAAATAAAGAAAGAGATAATTATTTTTAAATGGAACTATTCGCTTCAAAGGAATTAATCTGAGCACATTGTTCGCTAAATACCCACTTAAAGAGAACACGTTCCACTTTTCGAATGATAAAAGAATACAATACAGAATGGTTGCATTTCTACGATAGCACTCACAAGAAGGCTTGACAATTCACGTTACAGATGCTTTATGAGGAAATGGATTTACAGCAGCTAAATTCTGCTGTTCATTTTGAAAAGAATTTCAGAAAGTTTTCTCTGCGAGAAAAAAATGACAATAACACGAAAATAACACTATAGACGATTAGTCGTTCTACTTGACGACCGCAAAATTCGCTCGATACTCCTGACCACAAAGACTTTCTGAAGAGACTGCATTTTTGAAAGACATATACTTACTGGTTGAACTCGTACGAAATGTTATGTATCCACCACCAGAATAGCTGTATAATATAATGACGTTGTTCTACGAGTGAGAATAATGCATCGTATTACCTATATATATACGTCGCAAAATAAATCCAATTTTTGAGTATAAACATCTATATATAGATTAATAGAACATGATTTATTTATCGTATACTGCATTTCTTTCATACAAATATTACCCTCGTTTTGCTTACTCTGTCTCCCGTCGTTCATATAGATAAATCGACGGTGATGAAGAGTCAGTTGAATGTTCGCCAGAATGTGCACTATACGAACTAATAAGCAATTTTTATTTTGCATTCAATGCACAGAACAGACAAAAATATGATAATTTCGCTGGCCACTGTTTCTCGATCAAAAAGCATAATTTTAGTCAAACTCAATCTCATACAACATTGTCACAAATAACGGAGGCTATCAGTTTTACATCCACAACTACAAGCACATCCTTCTGTTTGTGAAGAATCTAACAGATAATCTATTATCACTTTACAAACATATACTCTTATTGTCTTTTCTACGGTTAAATAGTTCCAGAAACTAGGAAACACGTTTTCGTAAGGATAGACCTTAAGAGCTATTCCTAAAAAACGTTTAGATAAAAGCTATACTTTTCATACCATCATCGTGTTCAGTTTGACTGAAATTCTATCTCCTTGTTGATCGACTGAAAAACATTTTTGAAAAATATTGTATTTATTTAAGTATAATACTTCCATTATATTAAACAAAAGATCATCAACAAAGTATATCAGAACTGGAAATGAAATATGTATGTGTGTTTTGAGAAAAAAAGCCAGATATCTTAAAACACAAGCTAAAGTAAGACCTATCAGAAGGTTTTTAATTTTTTTAAATAGCTATAATTTGAATTGATTGTGGAATTTTGGACCGTTTGATACTGGCTCTCATTCTGAATTATTGATGGTGCGAATTGAGAATTCTATAAACTACAATGTAAGTGTTGCCGATCACGTTTTCTTCTGTGGCATTTGTTACTCATAAAAATATCATATTTTGAAAAACTTGCTTTTTCAGTCTGGAAAGCCACTTAATCAAAAGGAAACATATCTGAACCTTATACCTATCTTCATAGACTAGTTCACTGCGCTTCTTTTCATAGAAGCAAGAGGAATGGTGTTCAGAATATATCATATGAAGGTTAAAATTAAAAATTCCTCAATACTCTTTTGTCATTTCATATCATCAATACTCTATACATATGGAAAAGAACGTACTGCATCATCATATAGTTTTTTTTCTTTTTCATTCCTTATCTAACAATGTATTATCGTTATGCGTTTGATTGATACAATTTGCATTTTTTTTGACAGTTCGAATGATTGTTTATCTCATTATCTGATCATTCTAAACTGTCATTAACGAAAAAAGAAATGATATACGTTACAAGGACAAATCATCTATTAATAAAAATAAGACGCTTGTTTTGCACCGAAGATTGTTATATGCAGGCCTACGGAGATTTTTTTTTGGAATTTACTAGATTTTCTTGAAAAATTTCTGTTTTTTTTTCCCATATCATATCTTCTAAAAATATTATATTGTTGATCAGATTAATTGGAAGAATTGAGTCTTAAAATTACCCTTTGAAAAATGTCTGTTCAAAAACGTCCCTAACTTGTCGTCCTCATAAATAATTATTCATGCATAACTGTTCTTGGTAAAAATGTCTCTGAACAACGATAAAGCATACTTTATATAATTTATCTTTATACATACTTATGGTTTAAATTTTGATTTTTAAAATTAGACTATAAAGAAGAATAAATAGAAGAGTGATTGATTGTTTTGTTTATTTGTCTTCTTTCATAGTATAAGATTTAAGACAGAGAATATTTTTAATAGATTGCAATCGATAAATATAAATGAAGATCGTTTTAAAGTGCATTTATGAAATTCTCAGATAAAAATGAAAACGAATAATTCTTTTTCGATAAAGTTATTTTCATGATACAAAATCAAAGTAATTCTCCTATTATTAAAACAAAGTGTTGTATTATACATTTTTTGCAAGTATGAACTAAGTAATCGATCTTATTCTTCATAGTAATGATGAATATACCAATGAAACATCTTTGAAGACTTATACTAGAAATGTGTGTATGCATATATCACGATTTTCTTCGAAAATTAAAAGCATTTGACAATGGTGACATCATCTGTGGATGAATATCCACCTTTGTCACTTGATAACCTACTACCAACTATTTGTGTCTCTTCGACTCTCATTGTATTATGTATTAATGTTCTCACAATATGGTGAGTTGATACTGTGCTTTGTTGTTGCTTGAATTTAAGGAAAAGTATCAACGATGAAATCATGTTCATATGAATATAAATGTACTAGATGATAACTACTTAAAAGAGCGAATACAGCATGATAGTTTTTATCTTTGTCAAACGATTAGAAATAGATAGTTGTTCGTGTTTTCCTATTATTCCAAATTGCTTTATAATTAGTTATTAACTACTAAACTAGAATCAGTTAATTGAACAAGTACAAAAAACAATAAGTTTGTTGATTGTTACAATAAATAATACAAAAGGTTATCTAGTAGTTTCTCAATAATTAACTTTTGACTTTTATTGAGTACCAAACACAAGCAATTTCCCATAAAATATCAAGTAATAATTGCAGAATTTATTAATGTTATATATTCATCTTCCATTTGCTCACAGCAACTCCGATATGAGCGTCATTTGAAGAGAATAAAGAATATCACATAGAATTGGCTAGATTGAAAAATACACTAGGATGAAAGATGAC